AGCTCAGTTTTTGCAATTAAGACGGATTCCGCTCAAAGTTCGAGCAATAAGTGCAAAAAAATTTTTACTAAAAATCTACTCTCAGCACGGTAACTTTTAGAATACTATTTAAAAAACTCACTTTAGTTCATTTCTCTAGGGGACCCCGCGATTAAATTCTCAGGCATTCTCGAGAAAGTTAATGTCAAACCTCGTAAGAATGTTCAAAGCGTGTGTTATTGTGTTTCTAACTAACGCGAAACGTCTGTTTTAATTGAAATATGGATAAGACTTCAAGTTCAATTTTCTCTCGCGGAGTCAACTTGAGAGCGTAGGTCTCAATAGGTTCTTCTTATCTGTATTCAAAATATTACCATGCCATGAGGTTTTTTCGGTAACTTAATTTTTGCCATTATTGCTCGAATGTTCTGCGGAAATCATCTTAAACTGTACAGATAATCGCTACTTACAATACTTTTTTTTTTTTTTTGCTACTTACAATACCGTACGGCTCCTTTCAACACGGTATACTAATTTCTAACACCAAAGCTGTCAACACTTATTACATTTTGTACATAGCTAAAGCAATACAGTTTGTAGGTGTTTAGGTTGTTTCCATTTCTCTTAATGTTGCATACAAAAGGCAGCACTGCTACGCTGCACCAGCTACATACAGTACGGTATGCTAATTACTAACAATTACAAACATCAACGCTACTTACTTCGTTTACATAGCAACACAAAACAAAAAACACGTCATAAATGCAATTTGAAAAGTATTTTTGAAAGCTATATCAGACTTGTTTTTTAAAAAACAAACCATGAGCATTTAAAAATACTATTTCTTTTGGTATATTTACTTCTTCCTCTGGACGTACGAGAAAACTATTCAAAGAAAGGTTTTGGTCTTGTAGGCAACTGCAGTATCAGGAGCAGTATAATCAAGAGTGGAAATTTTTGCGATTAGAAGCCGTAGTTCAAAAAATATCTGTATTAAGTTTTGTCGAAAATCCCGAATAGAATCCTACTATTTGATAATATTATTTGCTGTTCCGTTTTATTAATCCACCAGTTTTGAAACTGTCTTCCAAAAGGCCATACCAGAAGAGCAGTTTAAGAACAAATAATCTTAATGTCTTATGTTGTTCAGACTCTAGTCAGAGCAATTCTCAAAGGGTAGGCTTTACAAACGACCATTATCTCCAGAAAATGTCAACTTTACATTTGGAAGAATTTATTCGGATATTTGACGATGACTAAACGAGAAACGTTACCGCTTAATCTTTCGTTACCGCATGAAAGTTCCTTCAGGTTGTAAATTAACAAAACATGAAAACAATTGCACGTTTTGGCATGGCTTATATAATTTAATTTAGTTTTCTCCTTGTTTCAATTCTGTGAAAGCCATTGAAGTTTTACCAATACCAATAACATGAATTCCAACAACCAAAATTTCTATGAAATTTTCATTTTTATAAAAAATAAAATTTCTTTGCTAAACTTTTTAATTTAGAAAATTTCAAAAGCATACTTTGGTAAGCCTATGAACGATTGCAGACGATTGAAATTAATCAGCAGGAGAAACGATTGGTAATATCGACTAACATGAAGTTCAGGTATTAATTATACATCAAATACGATCGACAGCGTTTCATCTCATTTCCAAACACCGAGGAGAGAGTTGAAAATACGAGGCGTATCGAGGTATTTTTAACGAACTTCGGGGCTTTTGGAAATGTGGTAATTTACTGTCTTGGGTGTTTGATAAATCTCCTCAATCGAAACAAAAACTAAGGAGAAAACGGAGAAATAAAATCTTAGAAATCTCTAATAATAAGGATCGGATATCCAAATGCCATGGTCTTATTTTCCTCTGTTTAAACTTGATGAATTATTAATGAGTTTGTGAACCTCAGAGAAAATTTTTGAAGATTTTATGTCCTCGCGTGCACAAATTCGTACCTCTAAAAATGTTGATAAATGTGTTATTATATAGGACAACAAATTTATCGAAAGCAAGCTATAAACTGCTCTGGACGTTCGTTAGTTTTAGCATCCACGATCACGCGAGTATAATTTCCAAAACAAAGTTAAAAGGCTCGTGAAAAGAAGTATAAACTATTGCGAATTATACATACTAAAGGACACTAAAAAATATTGTCTGTGTTTTGTACATCGTCAAAAATAACGATGAAACAGAAGAAATATTATTAAACGCTGAATAAATAGAACCTTACCTTGTACCTCCAGGATCAAGAAATCCAATAACACGAGGGCTGAGCAGAAAAACACTGAAAACATGTTTACGACAAGGCTACGAAACTTTTGCCAAAAGGGGCCGGTAATTATGTTCCATTCCAGCGAGAAGTTTCGAGAGTGGTTCAATGGTGTGAATCATAAGCCGAGCTGCAACATCTGAATTCAATTTTAACAAGTTCTTTATTCAAATAGACTAAATCAATACAATCATTGTTTTATTATGAGAGCTCGCGACAACTTAAAAAGTGTCCCTTTGTTGTGGTTGGCGCATGACGGTAATTGCATAGAAGACAATGCTATTATTTTCACAGATTGTCACATTGTTGTTTCTAATATGAATAAGAAAAGGAAGATATCACTGTTTTTACGTGATTCTCACTAGCGAATAAGCATAAGCATAAGCCTAAGCCGACATACACAGACGGAGTAACATGTCGATAATTAGCACCTTTTGTTACTGAAAATTCCCAACAAAATGTGCTAATTAACGACAACTTAAGCCCCGGCCAAACGACCGCAAAATTTCAACGCAACATACCGCGACATTGTTGAGTTCGGAAAACTGCCCATTTTTAACTGTAACAGATTTTGACCTTCTATCCACACGTCAACGATGAAAAACAGAAAAAAAAATCCTTTTTTGCTTATTACAAACCTTCATTTTCAAACTTTCGTTCATCCTGGGACTTGCCAACATTTCACGAAGCTGTCCAAAATGTCCAAAAATCCACAGCTACGCTTGTTAACATAAGCTCAGGTTATGACATCCTCAGTTACAGACTCAAATGTTACATACTGTTGGGACATATCCCGGTTCGGACTATCAGTTCGACCAAAATCTGCGGAACATAATGGATGGAACAAAGCTTTGGGACGCTTTCCATTAGACCAAAAATTCCGGTGTGGGTTTCCGGAAATTTCCTGGCGCGAATGGAACAGAATTTCCCGGTTGACTGCAACAGAGAGGAAAACGGTAAGCCACACTTCTGTTCGCATGGAATTTTTCAATGACTTCGAGGTTTCAATCGCAAATGTAGAAGCAAACAGAAAACTGATACGTCGACATTGTGACTTTTTATAGACCACAACAGCGACTTACACAAAACAGAACGGCAGCGAAAACGTCGCAAAACAAAGAGTTTAATGAGTGGTACAATGGCTCTGCAAGTGTTTTAAATCCTTGTACATTTCTTAGCCAACCTATGCAAAACAAACAAATATACACAACGGGGGCATTTTTTTTAACGGAATTAAACGCTTTCTTGTCGAATTTATAACTATAGCCAGTATTTATCGACAGACAAGTGGCAAGATTCTAAAGTAAAGTATTAATCCATTTTCGAATACGCGTAACCGTCATCTTTGCGTGGGTTGTCCAACTCGTTGTGATGATCTGTGATTGCGGCCAAAAGAACCAGCGCTGACGCTGAATGGAGAATTTCGAATTTATACATAATTTTTGTTAATATAATGCTCCCAACCTAAGAACAGCAAAAAATACACAGTAGGAAGTTTGACAACTCAGGGAAGCGATCTGCCATTTTTCACTTGATTATTATTTGTCACTTATTTGTAGGCAGTTATTTGCAGGTCATGTGGTGAGCTCTTGGCCAATGAAAAGGAAAAATTAAAAAATGCGGCGGATGGCAATAAGTTTACCATTGTCTTAACGAACAAAGACTCTCCAGAAATCACCAGAAGATACTTCAGCGTTTGAGTCATCACATCTCCATCTCAGTTTGCCAGGCGGAGTCGTTATCAGCAGCCAGTGATATGAACCTCTTACAAAAGCAGCGTTGTTGCTCAGTCTGTCTTCATCAGCTGTCAAAATGCCCCATTTACCAGGGAATCGCTCACCATCAGATCCCCACTGATCACAGACTCCAGCTAAACGAGAATTGTCATTATCCATTCTAACAAACGAGCCACAGGCGTCAGGTTGGACATCCGTCTGACCGCTGAAGTACTGGACTACAGCTTCACCAGTGCTGTTAGCGACCGTGGTCACGTGGAACGTACGTCCCTGTTTACTGCAGTGGAATCTCAGTTGAGTGAAAGACAAGTGTGATCTCAGATCAGTCATGGCACTTTTCGTCAGAAATGTTTTGCTGTTGTGATAGTTTCCAATTCCTCGGTATGTTGTCTCTAGTGACAATTGAGGTGTGGAGAATGAGCTGTCAATCACAGCGTTGGAGACAAGAAGCCAGCCTCCTAAAATGGGACGAAGATGAGTGGTCACGTGATCAAGCAAAGTCAGCAATCAGGTCAACTTTTAACTCGGCAGCAAGAAAGAGCTTGGTTATGTAAATGGAGCTTGGAGAGGTAAGTCGAAAATGCGAGAATATGAGATTTCGTTACAGTATTGAGAATGAAAACTTTTGCCTATGGGCTTTCTGTAATTAATTGGTAGCTTACTGTTATATCATTTAACGATCATTGAACGAAGTTGAGCGAAATATCGTCAGTGGCCAGTAGATGCTGAAGCAAATAATTGATCTGCGAGAGACACTGATAAATCACGATATTTTGCGATAACCGGGTTCAATCATTGTTTTATCACTCAATTACCATTTATTAAATCACTCTCTGACAGCGCAAGAAAGCAATCTGCCATTTTTCACCCTGAAACGTGATTTCAATAGCGCATGAACAGAATATTATTTGAGCAGACCGTTATTTGTAGGCAGTTCTTTGCAGGTCACGTGGTGGGCTCTCGGCCAATGAAAAAGAAGAAAAGCTGCATGAATGATAATAAATCTTAGTAGGTATATTGTCTTTGAAAAGCCCTGTTGGGGAAAGTCAATAAAGGATGTATGTATGTACCTATGTATGTATGTAATGAGTTCCAATAACGGTTCGTGTTTCAAACAGCTTAGAGCCGGTTGTACCCTTTACAGCGCTCTGGCAAATGCATTCTTTTGTTCCTATCACTTTCCACAACGTACCTCCTTCAGTGGTCATGTCACAAAAGACCTTTAAAGGGTTTCCACTCCCCTCGGGGTCGATCCAGTACTCCCCGTCTCCTCTGGAGCCTCCTGAGTCCCGGATGTGCTTGCAAGACCGACCAGGTTGACTGGAATGCAAACCTACAGTTTCAAAGTGAAAAAAACATATGCTCTTCCATGGAATAGCTAAAGACACGTTTGTGACAACAATAGAAGATCAGAGTTTTCCGTATGCTACACCCGAAACGGTTAGTGGCTTTCAGAAGGGAGCAGGGATGTGCTCCGAGGGTTTTTCCCCGATTTCTCCGGTTTTCCTCCCTCCACAAAAACCAACATCTCCAAATTCCAATTCGACCATGATAGAGCACCCGCATGAAAACCAGCTAAGGTTGATGAGGCTTCCTCTCTAAATATGTATAGTCGGGTTATTAAGATTCAGTCCAAATTATGGGTGCAAGTTTCAGTTCCCGAGGTAAAACTATGTCGACATCTTTTTGTACGAAAAGTGATTGAATTGTTTAAGAATTATTTTGACGTTATGTTAGTACATGCCGCGGTCAGCAAGCCTTGGCAATATGAATTTCAAGCTTGAGAGATGACTGTTTAAGGCCCGGCTATTGCACCAGGCAAATTTAGTTGTAACTTGTCCCGCAATTTCATTCCGACTCATGTTGCAAGAGCATCAATTGTCCTGTGTGACATCCCCAGAAATGAAAATGTCTCACAAAGATTTTGCTGTAACAGACGTTTCACGAAGTAGCTAAAATCAAGTTCCGTAGCTTTAAGCAACGCTTCCAACAAAGCTGCAAATAAATTGTTATGCATGGAATGCATTCGTTATGCATGGAATGCATTGGTGGTGTTACTCTAAACAACGTTTCCTGCAACTTGGGCCGCAACGACATTGGCGAGCCAAGTTGCATGAAACATTAGCTAGCGTAAGCAGGGTTTTTGCTATTTAAACGAATCAGTCAATCGCGTGTGACGCATTATTCAAATACATTTTATCGTTTGCTCACTTACCTCTATATTCCAGGCATCTGTATTTGACTTGCAGATATTTGTATGTTCCCCTACATGGATCGCCACCAAACACTGAGCTAACTGCTTGCAGCTGACATTCGGTTTTACCGTTACACCTTCCCCGCACGATTTGAAGAGAATTGCT